ATCAGTTCTAAACGATCAAGCCAAACCAAAACCATTTATTCTCTATTCGTTCAGTGAAACCCTTATCCCAAATTTGTCTAACAATACCTATTTTAGTCTGTTTTCTTCGGAGGCATCCAAGCTGCTGTCAGCTGATATGAAAAATACATAGCCAAACCATGTATTTGGAAAGCGACAAGAAAGAACACGTACCACAAGATGACCATAGGAAATGTTCCATTAAAAGTCGGGGTGTCACTATTTTCTCTATTAAAAATATAATCTAACAGTTCCGGAAACTGACTCCCAATACCAACTGCACACGGCATAATACCAAATAAGAACTGTCCATAATAATGATACTGCAGAATTTTTCCCTAAACACTTCAGGTTAGATCTCCAGAAATAATAAAAAAATTTTTATATTGAAGCTCTAAAAAGTATTAAAGCTCTAAAAAAGCACCACCAGCAAACGAAAATTTTGGTATTTAGAAAAACTAAAATTACATCTTCTAAACTACGTTAACACTATTTTTTATAACTTTGTAGAAAACTAGACTAGTGTAATGTCAAAATTCAGTTCAAATAAGTTTTTTCAAATAGTCTTCCGTTTTTTCAAGCAAAAATTGGAGGCAACTGTTACCAGTCTACTTCCAGAAATGTTGAACAGCTGCCTCCTACCTTTTAATTAGAAAAAAGAGGATGAAAATTTAGACAACGCGAAGAATTCCAATTTTTCTATACGTAGAACATAAGAATCTTTAACAGCGAAAAATAGACGCAAACTCGGTGATTGCTTACCCGATTTCTGCTGAAAGAACAAAGGGCAAAAATAATCGGTATGAATGATAGCGACCACACGTACTCCCACGGATAAGCACTGGGAAGGTCCAAAGAACTGAATGACTGCCATTTAATCCTAGTATGCCTAACCAAGAATTCACCAAAAATTTTAGTCCACATCGCTAGGAGCACAAAACCATGAATGACAAATAACCACTTCAGATACCATTTATACTGGACACTATAACGATTAAGTAATAATACGAAAACCTTTTAATTATGTGATTAAAGTCAAAAAAATTTTATTTTTTGAAATATTAACGACTACGTCGCAATAATCCATATAACCTTAATTTAGTGGTCAGATCAGAATGGCAGTGACATAAAGCTAACCAAAAACAACTCAAAAAAGTAGTAAGAAGAATAGTAGATTGAGTACGATGAAACAGCCCGAAACATAACTCAAGAAAAAAAAAGACTACTGGACAAACAATCTTCAACAAGCATTCTTCTACTCCCTTCCTTTGATCAAGGATTCAATAAAAAAAAAAATTTGAAGACAAAAATAAAACACTGATATAATGGTGACTAGATCATAAACATGTGACAAATCGTTCATTTTTTATGTCAGTTCCCTCAGCTGTTACGTAGTATTATTTTTACAAGAATTTATTTAGTAATCAGTAAAGCTACAGAGCATAAGCTTAGAAAATGAACATTTTTTTAACCCACATTTTAAAATGATACGAGTAATCTGGATAATCAGTATACCTTATCTGATAATGAACAGCAACTTGTTGCCGATGTCTATAGTCAGTACCATCCGTACCAGCAGCTCGAGGTCCTCGAGATGACATTACTATTCAACGTCTTTTATCGACGACCTAAAAAGCAAAAAAAAGGAGAAAAAAAAAGGATAAGAGATAGGAAATAAAGAAGTAAAAAAAAAATAAAAGAAAAAACACATCATTTATTCATGGTAAAACTACAGTTATAAATCAACAGCAACAAACGGCTTTATCTTAACATATTCGAACAACCAATCGAAATAAAACAGCGTTAACATCAACTAAATCCGTGTTACTAAATTTAAGTTCTTCAAAACTCAAAAAAA